CCCCAAAACCCCAAAACCCCAAAACCCCAAAACCCCAAAACCCCAAAACCCCAATGTTATGCACGAAATACATTAAAAGGTATATTTAATATCCGAAATGGAATCAACCACCGACGAGAGTATTAAGGAATACGTCCATAAGACATTTGATGATACTTTCTTACCATCACTCATGGATTTTGTGAGGATCCCAAACCTTTCACCCCTCTTTGACCCTGAGTGGAACACTAATGGGCTCTTGATGAAGGCAGCAAATCATCTTAAAGATTTTGCAGATGGACTAGGACTTCAAGGATATACTTCAGAAATTGTTAAGGAAGATGATAGGACCCCTGTCCTTTTCCTGACCATCGAGCCCTTTAAGGTTCCTGAAGAAGACGCCCTCACTGTTCTCTGTTATTCCCACATGGATAAGCAACCATGGGGTGATGGATGGGATGCTGACAAGAAACCAGATGAGCCTGTGATCGTAAACGATAAGTTATTCGGAAGAGGTGGAGCTGACGATGGATACGGAATGTATTCAGCACTGCTTGGAATAAAAACATGCCAAGACCATAGTCTCCCACACCCAAGAGTATATATCTTTATTGAAGGTTCAGAAGAAAGCTCTGAAGATGATTTGGTTCACTACATCAATGATTTCATTGGAGGAAGATTCAAACACTCTTTGGATCTTGTTATCGCGTTAGATTCAGAAGCTTTAGACGCTCAGACTTTCACTTCAACCAGCTCTCTGAGAGGAATCATCAATTTCGATCTTAAAGTAGAAGCATTCAAGGACAATATTCATAGCGGAAATAGTGGAGTTTTTGCAGATACTTTTACAGTTGCGACAGACTTGATTAGCAGACTCGAAGACAAGTCTACATATCTAATGAAAGATGAGTTCCAAGTAGACATCCCTGACTACAGAGTTGAAGAAATGAAGGAAATGGCTAAGAGACAGAGAAGAAGTGACGAATTGCCTTGTCTTAAGGTTATCCAGTCAATTCCAACTTTATTGACAGGAGACACCATTGATCAAAATTACCATCAGATTGCTAACTACAATTGGAAATCAGTCTTATCTGTGATTGGAGCCAACGGGTTACCTGATTGTGCTATCTCAGGAAATTGTTTGAGGAAACAAACAACATTGGCCATTTCAATCAGAACTCCTCCAACTGCTGATGTTGATAAAATGTTTGAGAGAATCAAGGAGCTTATGACTACTGATGTTCCTTTTAACTACCAAGTCTCCATTGAACGTCCAGATATTGCTGCAGGATGGAATGCTAAAGCTTTGTCAGAAAAAGTTGACACAGCTCTCAATGATGCAGTTAAATCATCATATGGAACAAACCCCGTATTCCAAGGGTGCGGAGGTGCTATCCCATTTGCAGGAATCTTAGGTGAAAAGTTCCCAAAGGCAGATTTCCTGGTAACTGGATCATCTTTGCCAGATACGAACGCACATGGTCCAAATGAGAACCTTGATTTACCATCAACTAGAAATCTGACCACTGCTTTAGCCTTCTTATTCAGAAATGTAGCCAGTTAAAATACAATAAGAAGTACGTACTATGTCCATTTTGAGGGAAGAAAAGTTATTGGGGTTTTGGGGTTTTGGGGTTTTGGGGTTTTGGGG